CCCTGTTGACCGTTTGGGGGGGGGGGGGGGAGGTTGTGTCCCAAAGAAAGGGTCCGCCAGGGATGGGTCCCGGGTTCCATCTAACATGCCGCCAGGGTCGGCGGACCCCAAACTCTAAAACCCTGAGCCCTAAACCCTGTTTGGGGGGGTGGGGGGGCACTAAGCAAATTGAGACACAAACTTAGACCGTGTTGAGTGCAAACTTAGAATGTGTTGAGTGGAACACAAAGCAAATTCAGACGCAAATTTGGATTGTCGGCCTGTGGGAGGGGGGGTGCAGGGGCCACGATGTGGGTTGAGGCTCTGCGTGAGGCGTGAGCGCTTGAGGTTCTCGGGTTGATCAAGTTTCTAGCCGTTCTGGCCTTTGCACGGGGGAGGGGGGGTGGGTTTGTACTCTTCAGTGCCATCCTCTTTTCCAGGCCCTGATTTGCCCCGCTTTTGCTGAGAGCCCCGCAGGTTGCGACGGCCAGTTTCCCCTGCAACGCTTTCGCAATCGCGAGATCGTGCAGCCAGCCGAGGGAGACTACAGGCCACGGCTGATTTTGAATCTCCATTTCGCAAGTCTCATTTCACATTTGATTCAGACAGTCCGCGTTTTGGAAAGCCCTGGGACAATCCAGAGACCCACCGCACAGTCAACTCCAGATGCTTGAGTCGGATCTTGTGCGCCTTTTCCCGCAGGTTGGAAGCCACCGCCATCGCCGAGACAGATGCTTGCGGAAAGGACCCTCAGCATCAAAAGTCTGCAGGGCCGAAGGCCAAATAACTTTGAGGATCTTTTAGGTCAACTGAAGTAGAGGTGCAAGTACTGCAGCAAGAGCAGGCAGAAGTTGGTCTCTGTGTAGTTGTGTAGCTCATCTTGCCCGAAGAGGCTTCGCTCGGTGTACTCGAGCCAAACCACCAGAAACTCAAGCAACAAAGGTCGAGAAGCCCACCTGCATACTGGCCCAATGGAGCCCCTGGACCACCTGTGCCTCGGATTATGTTGAGGCTTTCGCCTGCTCTTATTCCCCCAACAAAGCCCATGAAGCCTAAAGCTTGTTCTACGCCAAGGCAGCGCCACCTGTGGGGGTCAACAGGTCCGCAGCCGCGACATCGACTACTCAGGCCAGTGCTCATAGGCTTCAGAGCTTCGTGTTTATGGGGCCCACGAGGTCGGTGTGCTAATCTTGTACTGTGTAGGATTCAGGTTGGCTGTCGCTGCCTAAGTCCGCAAGCCCAAAGTGTAGGGGTCCTCCGCAGGCGGAGAGCGTGGCATGCATGTTATCGATTAGCGCTGGCATTCTCGGTGGCGCAGAGTGATGTGTAATGAGCAAACAAGCTTTTGACGTGGAGGCTCCAGTTCCGACTGCAAGTTGCGATGGCTGGGGTACGACCACAGCGTGTGACTTTGCTGTTCATGGCTTGTTGTCGTGAGTGCATGCACGTGATTCAGGTTTGGGCATTTGGGGATTTGTACTTCTGAAATTATAAGACTCACGTACTTTAGCTTAAGGAGTCTTCGAGGGCTTGAAGTCAGCCGAGTATCGACAATATGCCAGCGTAGCATGAATTCAGAGTCGGCGTCAGCATGCGTCAGCTGGATTCAGCTGGTGTGCCGTTGGAAGCCAATGAGCCGCGCACCTCCCTTTTATCATCTTGTTTTGCCAACCTCCCCCCCACCTTCAGGTTCTTGAAGGAAACGCAGGAATGCGGGAAGCAACACTGCATGGACACCACTGAAGCGGAGCTCTCAGAGTGGCGCCTGGGCTGCAGGGTTTGGGCCTTTTTCGGGGATTTTTAAAGGCACGTTTTAAGGAGGTACCAAGTGGGGCTTGGTGGGCTTCAAGGCATCAGGATGAAGGCCCATGAGGGTAGCTTATGTCATTACAAGCTTTGTAAGGACTCAGTGATTGTCATGACTGTCATGACTGTCAGTCATTTCCGGTGTCCTTCCTGGCCAATCAAGAACACATCGCCCAGAAGAAAGCGCGGAGGTCGGAGTGGAGCCTTTGCTCCCACAAGTGCGGCCTCGGCACGACGTCTCGTCAGAGGAGAGCTTCAGGGCGCATCTCGCTTATAGACACGCTTTGAGGAGCCAGAAGGGGCTGTTTTGTTTTCTACGGACCTGCACAAGGCTTTTAAGGGCATCGTAGTCAGCGAACCATGACACAAGGGGTGTAATTAGCAGTAATTAGTAATAGTAAGGGTTGGAGGCCCACAGACACCCCATCAAGACAGGTCGCAAAGCTCTTCACGCACTGGCGCAGCCAGTCTTTCCTTTATGTTTATTGTCCCGATCCACGTCCCCTAGACTCCACGGCGTCGCGGGCTCTAATTGTGCAAAGTCCAAGGCGTTTTTGTTTGGACAAAACACCTTATAGCAAGGACACTCTCTGTGCAATAACTCAACAGCTGACTGGACTACTCAAACATGGAAGCCACCCGACTCATTCAGCAGCCCCCCCCAAAACCCCCCGGAACCCCCCCGCGAGACAGGAAGATCCTCCGCGAGGGCTCCGGTGGCCTCGGCTCCGGGCTTGCGCTGCAGGAGGCGAACTCTCTGAATTGAGGAGTTTTGCCGTGTGTTCTGTGTTTGCTTTGTGTTGGTATCTTATTCTTTTTCCGTATTGATGAATGGTAGCTTATGTTATTCTAGTAGATTACATAGTACCTTCTGGTCTTATGTTATATTCTGTTTCTTTTTTGGTATGTTATTCCTTCTGTTGTAGAACGGTTTTTTTTACAGTATGTTGTGGTATGTTATGTTTTTTGTGTATGGTATAGCAAATTCTGGTATATTCTACAGTTAATCGTCGTATTTTCTCTTGAGGCGCTGAGATTTCCCAAAGTTAGGGTGCCTTGCAGGCCCACAGAGTAGGGTACCCCGAAGCTTGCCAAGGGGCTCAGAGAGGTGCTAGAAGATCTAGGGCAGCTGCAGGCAGCTGCAGGGTTTTGTGCCATCTTAGAGGTTGAGTGATATTATGAGGGTTTGATGGGCTCAGGGCTTTTTGGGGCTTCAGGGAGGGTTTTGTGGGAGATATCAGGGCTGTAGGATATTGTGATGGCTCACTGCCTGAAGCACCTGATGCGCCAAGAATCCTACAGGTAGTTCAAAAGGAAAAGGAGCCAGGGGGCTGCTTTTCATGTAAGCCAGGATTGCCACAGCTGTGCACGCAAAGAACAAAGCGATCCGCCGAATGTGCAAGGTCAAGGGCTGTGTCAGAAGCCACTGCGGTGAGGTGGACTGCAGGCCCGGTGTTCGGCTAGATCGCAGTATACATGTGGGCGTGACCAACATGGTAGCCCGTTGCGACTTCTTGCTGCCATGCCCTTCGAAGCTGCGTTGACGATCATATAGAGCTTGCGTGGCCGGTGTTATCCTGCGCATGCAAACGATAATGTCCTAATTGTTGCCGGGCTCGGCTCTGACCAAAGCCTCGATTACCTGATTACATCCGCTCCTTGTGCCCTCCTACGCCTTGGCCTTGGCTGTCTTATTTGTTGAAGCTACTTTGCAATGTCGCCGATCAGGTGGGCAGAGTGGGACCAGTGGAGCGCATGCAGCTGCCACTTGGAGAATGCAGAAGTTGAGGTGTTTTGTTTGCAGGATTGGTTGCGTTTCAGTTTTTCATGAAGGCTGTAGGACTGTAGGACCTCGCATCAAGCACCCAGGCACCTGTGGCGGTGGCACCAAGCGACGAAGCCGGGTCATCGGGCAGGCACCTTCAAGCTGGTGTGGGTTGGGGGAGGGGGGGGGGGGGGGGGGGGAGGGAAGGAGGGAACGGAGGGAGAGGGCAGGGCTCGGCGTTTTCTAGTAGAACTTGTGCAGACTTTGGGCCGGTAAGGCTGCAGCATGTGCAGCTCTAGGATTGTCGGATTGTTGCTTGATCTTGCCGCATGGACCCAAGTGTGCATGAAAGCCTTTTCTCTTTGATGTGACGAGTCAGATGCAAATTGCGATTGACTCTGACTCTGAGCGAGCCAAGCGAAGCCTCCCCCAGCCGTGCGCAACACACTCCACCGAACGCATGTGACATCCTCATACACGCAACAGACTGATTGATCAATATCACTTACTAATAGTTCTAACATCCCTGAATCTTGGAACCGCCAAAGGAGTGCTGATCCCCTTGACTCTCCAGGCTCCTCGTCACGGCGGTGTTCTTTGTGAGGCGCTGGACAAGTCCGAGGCAGGCTCTCTTCGGGACCTTGAAAGATGTCGGGTTGGAGACTTGGAGAGTTGACAGGCTTTTGGTTCCCAGCCTCAAGAGCTGGCGGGATGCACAGACTTTGCCTCGAAGTCGTGTGTTTGATTGGCGGGACTCTGCTGCGGTTCTGGCCTCACAGCGCCGTTTATGTGCCACTGTACATCCCTAGCTTGCAGGCTGCGCCATGCAACACGCAGTCGTGCGAGATCTGCGTGGCCACTCAGCTGCGAGATGAATAGGGGCGTAGTTTGAGAGAGTTCGCATGATGTAAGCAGAGAAAGCCACGCAGCACAAGCAACGATCAATTCAACTGCTATGAACTGCCCCTATTCTTTTCTAAGCACTCCAGCTTCTTTGTTGGTCATAGTCCTAGAACTGCGTCAGTTCTGCATGCTACGCTTTCAGCCTTGCTGCCACCCCGTACAAGTTTGCCTGCACATTCCTCAACAGAACAAGAGCTTGCTCTTGCCGGCTCCGTACCTGAACCGCCAACTACACCGACCCCAGACTCCCCAGACCTCCAAGTTTACTCCCTGCTAAGCTGCTACCCAGTATATACATAGAGATGTGCATACACATTATGTCCGTAGCTTTTTGTGTTTTTACAGTTCTTATGTATGCATACACAAACTTTCTCTGTTTGTCAAAGCACCCGGATCCGCCATCCTTCGGAAGCCTGAAGCCGAAAGCCTCCAACACCAGGCCTAGTACATTCACAGCCCTTGTAAATCCATAGGGGCCGCGAGAATACTCATGATCCCTGATTTCTCAACGGAAACTCTAGAACTTTATCGTGGGAACCCTGTTTTCATGCATCCCCAGCGCAAGGATGGCTTGTGGGGTGCATGGACCCAGTGGTCCAAATGCTCGGCCACCTGCGGCGGCGCCTTCCGCGTGCGCCACCGCGACGCCTCGGGGACTGCAGTCAGGGGGGAAAAGTGAGGGGCCCGTCAACAAACACTGACTTGAGGCAGGCATCGGAGTGAGGGAACCCAGAGAATGGAGGCACAATGTCGAGGAGTCTCGTGGTTGTGGTGGGGCCTCCGCAGTTTCAGAGGCGTTGAGAAAGTCAAGGGCTTGTGGGGGCATTGCAGGGTGTATCTCCAATCTCAAAAGATACCTGATCACCGATCCCGTTCAACCTCCTGTTTCGCGGACCCTGGAGTTGCATAGCGTGGCCTTCATCCCTCGGGCCGATGTGTTTGCCAGGCCTATAAACCCTCGAACCTCAATGTAGTTCTTTTTTAATGCCTTAGGTCATGCAGCGGCCAAACACATGCGGGAAGCCAGCCATAGGCTGGGCGCAAGAATCATCCCTGGAGAGATGTTGAGGTTCAGGGTCAGCGGAACTCGGCAGACTCGAGGACATGACATAGCCAGACTCGAGGACATGACATAACCCTGTAGAACCAAGAGATGCATGCTCAAGCGCGCTCTTCGGTGATCTTCAAGGACATGTAATGTGCTGCAGAGAGTTCTGCGCACTTGCGCAGTGATCCGGGTTTGCGCTGGGCACTCAGACCCGGATGCCCTGGCTTCAATCCTCTCGGAAAGGCCTTGAGGACGAGTACCACATGTGCCATGACGTCGTCTCCTGCACCCCCAGCGAAGCTCGGAAGTTTGGGAACTTGGGCTGGGAGGGTCAATGCAAGCATATTCAGCAGAAGCCATGCATGGCCCATTTAGACGTTGGTGCTTGGTGGTGGCTTGGTCATGTGTGTCTTCAATGGGGAGGTGCTCAGGAGAAGGGAAGGTGTGAAGGCTCTGGAAGCAACACTTCTACGCAAGTGACGAATGAAGTCCCCATCCCACCAGGTTTCCAGACCTTAGCAAGTTTAAAATGCTGCCCAGGAAGATTGCGAGCTTGCCGAGTGGGCCGAGTGGCCTCTTGCCTGTGTTCATGAAGTCCAGCTACTGTGCCCCCTATTCTTCCGCAGCTCGCAAGTTTTTCGAAATCGCGGAACTCTTCGTTTGAGGCTTTCAATGTTGCCCCCCTTCCCCCATGAGCCTGGCCCGCGCTCAGCCTCTCAGCCGCTGAGGTCGGCTTGCAGCTGCGACTGCTTCGGCGTGAAGGAGAGGCATCGGCGCATCCTCAGGCGGGGATGAGTGATTGGTGAGTGTTTCACTGCTGCGCTTCGTGCAAAGAGATGAGGAAGGAAGATGTTTCTGAAAGGGCTTCTGCAAGGCGAGCTTTTGAGCTTGAATTCCATCCCTTAGCCTTCGAATACTCGGCAGGTTCGCCACGGGCGACGGCAAGTCCTGCGGTGCTGTCGCCGACGAAGAAGTGACCCTGGCTCAACATCCCGGTCTAAAGTGTACCTCAGGCCCCAAGCCATAAGCGGCGAACATTTTCATTATGTTTGAATTGTTGGCCTACATGAGCAAGCGCTAATTGAAAATCCCCAGCCATTCAAGCAAGCAAGGGCTGGACACGAATGCCATCGAATGCCCGAAACCCTGTAAAGCGATGGGAACACCTGAAAAGCGACACCCCTATTCATGAGCCGTTGTGGTGGGCTGTAACCTTAAATTTTCCCAAGCGACACCTGCAGACATCGGGCTTGGATAAGTGATGCGAAAACCCTGCGAAGCGACGGGAACACTTGAAAAGCTTGCGTCCATTTACACCGCCAGACGGTTTTGGCAGTCACTCACATAGCGGCTTAGGAGATGATCAAAAACACGGTCCTTGCACTGTTGCCTACGGGCAGCGCTTGCAAGGTCGCGAGGTCACAGGTCGATGGCTTCGGTGGCGCAGGCAACGGTGAGATGATGGGCTCTTCTTCCGCAAGAGTCGTTCGATAGATTGGCTTGTCAGTGGAAGGGTTTTCTTCTTTAGGGTCTGCGCTTAGGTCCAGTTAAGGGAATGTTGGGGCGAAGGATTGTGAAACATCCAGAGACTTCGAGAAGTCTTTGAGATTTGGGTTGTCTTGTAAGGTTTTTGGAAGGGCTGAGGAGGGGCATCCATTGGAGCCTTATGTTTATGTAGATGAATATGTGTATGTGTAGATAGAAATATACCAATGCATACATACATACATGTGTGTGTGGCACAGTTTGCACGCTTCTTCCCGTTGTTGGCTGTGGGCCCTTTCTAGGGAAGATGTATTTTGTCAGCAAAAGTGAGCTCCTTGGCCTGCGGTTACTGTAACGTCTGAGTCACCTGCTTTGGAACCAGCCTCTACCTCTAGTGCCGACCTGGCCCTCGCGGATAAAGCCGACACACGATGCGTGTGTCCCTTCGCTCTCACGCACTCTAGAACCATTTTCCTTGTTCAAACCTTGCCGCTCGAAAGGCTATGCTCGCCGCCTCGTCAACTTTGAGGGCTTCGCTGCTCTCGAGGAGATCTCGGCATGCAACCCTCTCGCAGGCAACTGTCGGATGAGTGGGATTGGGGGGACCCCTGAGCGTCCTTGAGGGCATTGTGAATCTTGGCAGGGTCCTCTATTCCCTATCCCCCCATGTGAAGGCGATATGCCTCCGCCGCACTGCGGGCCGCTTCCCAAGCGCCCGTGTGACTTCTCCCCGCGCCTCGGAGAGTGCAGTCGGAGGGCAGGTGATCACCCATGTGTTGAAGCATATGTGGCTATCGGGTGGAGGTTGTAAGGTTCAGTGCCAGTTACATTCATGGACCTGAAATGCTGCAACTTTCAGAAGGTGCAGCGCGTCAACGATTTGACACTCCGCAAGGTAGAGCAATCAAGAGACATTTCCCAATTTCCCAACAGCGATTTCCGGAGCAGACGCTCAAGAGGGGTCGTAAATCTTCGGGCAGCCACTTGCACCTCACGACCCCAAAGCGGCTGCATTGCATTGCTATACACACGCAGAGCTGCAGTCTTGGCAGCTCTTTACTTCCTGAGTGCTTTCAACACTTGAGCCCGCTTGCCGTGTGCAACGCTGCTGTTGCTGTAACGAGTCTTCTCGCTTGTGAGTCTTGCGTCCGCAGATGTCCGCGTTTTGTTCAGCCTACACCGGCTTACACATCACAGTCTTGAGATGTCGCAGAGCCGATGATTTCGGGGCTGGGGGTTTGGGAGCTTTCGGGAAGATCCAGAAGCTGAAAACTCGGTCAGTACTGAAAAAGGCCCAATAGTCCAGTCTCCTAGCCCCACCCAAACGGAAAATCTCAAATAGCGTTCCTTGCTGTCACATTCTGCCCATGGTAAAAGCCCAGGTGGGGTGAGTGGGGAGAGTGCAGCGCGACATGCGATGGCGGAATGCAGGCGGGGCTTGACTGGAAGATGATCGTTGCATCGTTGATCAGTGACACAGAGTTGCGTGCCTCCAGAAGCAACCTGTTGGAACCCACAAACTCTTTCTTCCAATTCTAATTGCTGCGTTCGCTGGATTTGTGGTCACGCAGTCTATTGCTAGAGTTTTGGATGGTTTTTCCCTCTCTGCACGTCTTATACATGATCTGAAGTGCCTGCCAGGAGCGTGCCAGACACATCCGAACCCCAAACTCCCACGATGGCGCGCCATGCGAGGGCCCGCTGGCGCAGATCCAAGGCCCTTCGTGTCCGACATCACGTTCGGCTCACAGTAGATTAAAACAATCTAAGCCAAGCAGGAAAGAGGAGGGGAGGGGCCCCTGGCCCGTCTTGAGCCCCGACAGTGCCCGCACTTGAGACTTGTGAAGTGATTGGAACAGAATTGGACTTTGTCAATGTGTAGGGCATTCAGTGATCGCTGCCGACATCTGCTGATCTGGTCTACCTTGCTCTGACTGCAGGATGCGGCTTCGGCGACTGCGTCCAGCGCGTTTGCAAGGACTGCGACTCGGCGCAAGCGAGAAGGGCCAGAGTTTGCAAAGCTTGCCCCGGGAGCTAAATCAGGGCTACCAACAAGACGGCAAACTCTCCAACCTGACGCGAGAAAGGCCACAGGCGTCTGCGCTGCTTGACATGGCAACCGGGCAACCTCTCCAATCTACCTCATCATCCAAGTCATCCTTCAGGGTCGGGCGAAGAGACCAGGCAAGAAACTGACGAGGGGTGGGGGGGGGGGGCAACAAACGACAAGAACAAGATTATGGGAAAGAAGAACAATATTAGCATGTTAGGGCAGAGCCTGCGCTGCTTTCTTGCTTCCACCGAGATTTGCTTCCTCATCTTAGTGTGACGTGGCTAAGCCAAGCAATGCTCCGCCCCCCCCCCCCCCCCCCCACAACGATCGAAGCAACTTAAAGCAAGCCGAGCGACACCCAGGTGAGTGGGGCCCCTGGTCGGATTGGGGCGCCGCCTGGCAGTGTTGTTCGTGGTGCGAGTACGAAGCGGCATGTTGCGGTGTCTGGACCTGTTCGCAGTTCCGAGATACCGGGCGTTTAAAGTTTAAAGGATTTACAGGATGCGATTCGCAGATCATGGCTTCAAGGTTTCCGAGGATTTTTAGCACAACCTAAAGTCTTCGACCCCCCCCCCCCCCCCAAACAAATCCTCCAAGGCTCGACGGCTCGACCCCCGCCCCAAGCTGAGGACTGCTCGAAGTGTGGCGGCCAACGCTATCGGCAGCGCGCCGTCCTCAAGATGCCGAATGCAGCCTGTCTGAGCTGAAAGGGACTTCCGGAGCTTTGAGGAGCTTGAGGCGCTGGAGGCGCTTCCCCGACGTTGAATTCTGAACCACATAACCGCCCGATGGCGAGGCAAGATCTGTCTCCGCCCGCTTTTGCTTGATGTGTCACAGCATCCTCCTGCTGAGAGAGAGCACCCCCGCACGCGCGGCGCGCGCGTCAGAAACCCCTTGCTGTCTTCCCAGGAGTGCGGGAAGCTGTGCGACCCCAAGACCGCCAAGGAGGTTGGCCAATGCACAAGCCATTGCGAGGTGCACCCGGCTACGGGTTGTTTTGGGGGCGTTTAGGGTTCAGGGTTCAACCCAATGCACCCTGATGCATGAATGCTCAGTATAGAAGAAGAAGAAGCGTTTTTTTGTTTACAAGGCCTTTGGGCACGCAGGGCCTTGGGGTCCGGGTCTTCGGTCATCTAGGATTTTAGGGCCTTAGGGGGGCCTGGTTGTAGTAGGTCTTGCAGCAGGCACAAGGGTTTTTTGAATTGCTCGGGCAGCGAACCGCGCAGCACTGAAAGCCTTCCCTCCAACAAAACGCTCAAAAACACCAAGTGCCAAGTACCAGGGAGGGGGAAGATGATCCCTACAGTGTCCTACAGTAATCAACCTGAGAACAAGCCTCAAGGTCATTGCTTCAGAAGGAGGGCTGATTGTGGACCCGGCGCCCTAAACTAAACAGCCCTAAACTAAACACCCAGCCCTTCCTCCCCACGACCTCTCTTGGAAGCACCCTTTGAAATTCTACATCCGGAGCCCAAGACCTTGAATCCTGAACCCTGACCCATGAAACGGGAAGTTTGTCACCCCAGAAGCATTCAGCAGCAGCCCCGAAAAAACAAGGAGGATGGCTTCTGCACCTGGGGTTCCTGGAGCTCCTTGTCCTCTTGCAGCGCGACCTGCGGCAGCTTGGCAGGAACACCGGAGACCATGTTGTGGCGTTTGGGGTTGCGACGGGTTGAGGCTTACCAGTATGTAGTATGCTGGAGGCCCGCCCTGAACAGAATATGTCCCCGTGGCGGAGATCACACCAGTGCCCATGTAAGGCACAGCAACCATGATGCGCCAGCGGTCACTCGAATTCCTGAAGGAGGTGGCTGATGTGCGAAGTGAACATGTGAAGTTGGAAGAGAGGTGTCCAAGTGAGCGAAGCATATGCAGAAAATGCAGAGTAGTCGCAGATGGACAAACAACACGTCGTGCCATCCAACTCCATGCTTTAAGATGTACCCCTAAAGTCTGCATGCCAGCTCGTCAGGCTTAATTCTAAACTGACGGTGTGCAGCGCGAAGCGATACGAGCAGTGATGCAGGAGCCACCTGCCAAGAGCCAGCTCATTGGCGTTGGCAAGTGTTGGAATGCTTCTCGGCAAAGATGTTGTTATGCTGTCTCAGCTTTGTCAAAGTTTCGGAGTGTAACCTGGAAATCCCGATATATTCTGGCCACCCAGCGAGATTCTCAAGAGAGTTAGACAAAGCCCTCCGCCCTCCGCCCTGCCGCCGTCCCTCAACCCCCCGACGTAGCCCAGCCAGGACCGAAAGCTCCGCTACAAAGCCTACCGCATCAAGACCATGTCCACAGAGGCACGGCCAGTAGAGGTTGGGTCGAGCAATTCTGGGCTTCGACGGAGGAAGGAGTGGGAGTTGTCCTGCGCAACGCAAGTAGGGTTCGGACTTGCTTGGCTTCTGCGGCGTGACCTCGTCCTGCCCTCAATGACTCTACAAGTCACCGAAACACAAAAGGCCTGGCCGGGTTTGATTGCCAAACAGCTTGAGATTTAGGCCATCAAAAAGACATCCTGTCACGATGCCCTTTGCCGCCACATCGTGGGAGGCGCAGTGTACTGACATTCTTGCACAATCGAAACAAGTTCATGGCATCCGTGGGGTACAGCAACTTGGCTTGTTTGGCTGGATTGCGTTCTTCCCGTGCCGCTGTTGGAGAGTGTAGTCAACATGCCCATGGCCCATGGCCCATGGCCCAAGCACCTACATCTCTCACTCCTTTTCAGCACTTGTGTCTGGAACGTGGTGCTCGACAAGCGCTTTAAGCTTTGGGGCCTGAGCGAGTTAAGCACAAGGGACCTTGCAATGCTTGCATCAGTTGGCACAGTCCAACAGAGCCCAGGTATGGCGAAGCGCTGCACATCTGCGACGTCCTTGTCGATGAGAACACGGAACTTGACCATCAGGTGCAAGATGTTTCATTATTATTTTCAATATCCAGCAATCCCAACTTATATTCTTTGGACAGGCCTTCAATGTGCCCATGGAGTTGCTCGATAACATGTACAACGACCAGCATGCCACAGGCCGTACCGGGCGACTGTCAGCTACTAACATGGCCCATGTTCCTGGACTCACGAAGTTCGTGAGCCTAAACGTGAGTAGGCAGCTGCATTGAGGTCTGTCAGACGCCATATCTACCAGTAATGCATGATAATGAGCCGCTGAACAGTCTCGTGCGCAGTTCGCACGAGAGTCTTTCTATGGGCGCATGGACCAGCATCCATTGCAAGGAGCAAGCTCAACGTGTAGAGTCTTGTTCTCTCGTATGAATCGGTGTGACTGACTTAGGAGATGCCTGCTTGCCAGGCGCCATTGAGAGTTCGAACGGGGCCGCGGGCTGGAGGTGCTGGACAAGGCCCGGACGCTGTTTCCCGCTCGGGGATGGCTGGGTGGCGGTGGAGTTGAGCTTCGAGGGATTTTGGTGCAAAAAAGGGGTTTGAGTCGTCTCTCTGCGTATTGTACTAAGTAGTCCTCAAGCTTGGAGTGAATTCACTCACTCACGGCGTTCCTCGCTGCAGCAGTCGGAGCTGGACATGGCTCAGTGAATTTGAGAATCCGCGCGTGATCATTATCGTTATCATCATCCATAACTACAGTGACTACAGGAAGTCTGTACTCAGGCGGATGTCGCAGGCTTTGGAAAAAGACAGCAAACGTCGTGGCGCTTCGGCTGTATCCTGGGCACCTCAAAACTTTGAGTGCCACGGCCGAGAACGACGAGCAGAGAGCTGAGGGGCTGCGATGCCGCCAAAGTGGAGAAGCACCAACATTCAAGTGCCTTTCGACAGCCCCTCCTCCATCACGCTCCATCCTCGAACTTCCGGTTTCACCTGCCGCACCATGCCCTTCTGCTACTTGTAGTAACTAGTGACTGCTGGTAGCTAACCCGAGGGGCATCCTTTGAACCATGTCGTGACCAGGAACATACGAGAGTTTAAACCGAGGGCACTTTACAGAGGATAGCGACCACTGACTGCTGCCGTCTTCGAGATGCGAGGTGCGATGATTGCACAAATGACTGCTGCCACTTTCGAGTGCAGCATCGTGCTTTTTCGCTTGTCAGCCTTCTGTGAACAAAACCTCTCGGCTCTCCCGCCGGCTTCGCCTGCCAAATTAATGAATGAAAACAGCGTAATAGAGCCAACGAACTCTGGAGTGATTGGTCACCCTACACTGCCCCACATACCTAGACCTGATCAACATTGGCCACAAAACAGGGACTCTGGGATCTTCTTCATGGCCCAGAAGACGCTCCCTTGCTCCGGACAGCAAGTGGATGTCCTCGCCACTTGGCGGTCGCTGCAAGGTATTGAGGTCTTCGGCTTCTAGGGCTTAGGGAACTTTTTTCGGCTTCCTTTTTAAAATTCCGTTGCACCTTCCTCAGATTGCTTGTCCGACTGAGGATTGTCCCGTCAAGAGCTGTGAGACGTGCCAACCCGTGGATTGCGTCTTCGGTCAGTGGTCGATGCACCTCGAGTTGCAAACCGAACCGCAGAAGCTCCAAACCCATTTTTTTTGACTGCTTCCTATTCTTTTCTACGTTGTACATGCCATCCCATTGAGAAAGCGGCAAGCGCCGAATCCTTCACAGGCCGAGGCTCAGACTGATGGAGCCCCTCATTCAGGTGTAAACCCTTTTAAGCACTGCTGCAATCCTTTCGAAGTCGCCTTTTCTTCGATTCTGCTGTGGACTCCAGCTGACACTGAGGTGGGGAGGCCCGAGCTGCACGCAGCTTTGCGAGCGCCATCGCGTGATCTCGGTGTTTCCTGGGCTGCAGTGGGATGGTGGGACATCATGGGACCACTGTTCCTGTAGTGTTTGCTACCCGTGCTGGTACTTTGTTACCGCACTCCCAGGTTACACGCACCCGCAATCTTGGCAAATCGGTAAATTCCATCCAGAGGCTTTGTATATATATATATATAGCCAATCCCCGCCTTGGTACCGGAATGGTGCGACGCGAGACGCGTAGTCAGTGTAGT